TTTTTAAATAGGGCATGTGTGCTCACCAGAGAGACAAAGGAAGCTGCCAGGTCTGGGATGTGAACTGTGGTTGGCCATGGTGCTTGAAATTCTAAAGGATGAGTCTCCTCCTCCCCTTTCTCCTCTACTGTTGGGGGAAGACTATTGCTTTCTTGCACCATATGGAACAGACATGATGATGTTTGGCCCAGGCCACAGAAATAAGACAGACAAGAGAAAGCATCCTCAAGTGTATCAAATTGAACTAGTACGTGTAATTGTGTGTGTGTGTGTGGGGGGGTGTATGGAGAGTTCTTTTGCTAAAATAAGTAAACAAAACCCTGAAATGCACGAGACCAGCAATTGGCATAATAGCTATGTTGCTGGACTCCCATGTAGTCGACTGGTTTGAGTCCCAGACCTGGCAGCTTAAACTCACGCCAGGCACATGTGCATGTGTGCCCAAAATCCTGAGAGGAGAATCCACTACAACCATCCAGTATTCAAGTAGTAACATGATCACTATCACTTCCACTTACAAAGCCTTCACCATGGGGTTATAAGTCTTCCTTACTCTGCTTCACCAAACTAGATAATTTGCTTATCTCACTCATTTCTCTTAGCCATCCCACGAGGCTACAATCCTTATCCATGAACTTCCACTGTATAGAAGGAAACTGAGGCTCAGAGAAGTGGAGTCACTTGTCCATGGTCACACAGTTGACAAGTGGTGGAGCCAGGATGAGACCCCAGTTTGTCCCGGACTCCAAGGCTGATTGTGTATAATAATAGTGCCCACATAATAAGAAATTAGTGTTTTCACACTGGGCAAGTTGAGGAATCAGGAGATGATACAAGTTGCCCAGGCTCAACAATGGATGGGCCAGAGCACCAGTGATGGGTGACTCTTTGCTCCCAAGACACCCCCTACCCCCACAAAAACACTAATTTCACAGTAAGACCAAATTTGTGTCCAAATCAGGGTACATGGGTGGAACCTATCGAAAAGTTAATGTGTATGGCTCTTATGCTGGCGCTTCTGGTTCTCATGGGGAGACACGCTCCTGTGACTGCAGAGGGGTACACCAGGAACACCCACTGTGGTTGTTGGTACTGCCTGCCAACAACTGCAAATAACCTCAGCAAAAGTGAAATGCTTGGGGCCAGCAAGTGGCGTGGTGGTTAAAAGCACTGGACTCCCATGTGGCCAACTGCTATTCAAGTCCCAGACCTGGCAGCTTCTCTCTCTCTCTCTTTGTCCCTCTCTGGTCAAATTAAAATAAAGTCAAATGAAATAGTTCTTTAAAACAATTTTTTTTTTTAATGAAATGCTCAAAACACATGGTTTGCTCTGGAAGGACAAACAGCTGTTAGTTAAAAGGGGTGGTGTTAGATATGCACATGTTCACATCCAAACCCTCCAATGCGGTCTGTTAAAACGTACATTTTAGGGAACAGCAGATGGCATAATGGTGATGTTGCTGGACTCCCACGTAGTCAGCTGTGGTTGAGTCCCAGATCCACTGACTTAAAACTCAAGCCAGGCACATGTACGTGCGTGCCCCAAATCCCAAGAGAATAGAGAAGGGATTGTGATATGGCCATCCCTCCTGAGGGGTGCTTTCTAACTTCTTGTCTCTTTGTCTCTGTCTTTCCAGTGAACGTATGTGCCCTATAGCAAAAATCTCTCTCTAAGAAAAATGAGGGGAGGGGAGTACATTTTAGACTAATGCATTCAGAATAGGTTTTTTTGTTTTGTTTTTTAGGTTTTTGCCACTGGGCATATGCACTTGCCAGAGAGACAGAGAAAGTGAGAAATCATCCCCCAGGGGTATGGCCATGCTGCAATCCCTTTTCCTGCATTTTCCTCTCAGAAATATGGGCACATACACATGTGCCTGGTATGATTTTTCAAGCTGCCAGGTCCAGGACCTGAACCCTGGTCAACCATGTGGAAGTCTAGTGCCTTAGCCACCACTCCACCTGCTGGCCAGAGTGGTATTTATTTTCAATGTATTTTATGACTATATAAGACTTCAAAAAGTTTATGGGAAAATGGAGTTAAAGTACACATTTATGGGGACCAGCAGTTGGCCTAATGGCTGTGTCGCTGGACTCCCATGTAGTCGACTGCGGTTCAAGTCCCGGACCTGGTGGCTTAAACTCACGTCGGGTGCATGTGCATGCATGCCCAAGATCCCGAGAGGAGAATGGAGGAGAAGGGATTGCGGCATGGCCATCCCCCCTGGGGGTGACTTCTCGTTTTCTGTCTCTTTCTTTCTGGTGAGCGCACACCCTATAACAAAAACCTCTCCAAAAAAAAAATTATAGTAAGACTCTTCCAGACAAAAAATGGTGTTACCTTCAGGGAAGGAAGATGTGGAGAAGTATAAATGGGGTCCCTTGCACTCAGTTTATTTATCTTTCTCTTCTGTGAGCAAAAGAGGGGGAAAGCGCTAGCACCAACAGTGCTTTATGCCGCGATGCACCTCCAGCCTCAGCCCTGGATCACCTGCACACACTTGCCGTGTGTACTCAGGGAGGCCTACAGATGCAAGCGGAGAACCTTCCCATGTGAGTCAGCCTCAGGGCGTCCCATTTAACCATGGTATCACTGTCTGCCCCAGGGCCTCTTGTGTTCTTCCTATACATTCTTCTGATTGCTTCATATTTTACAGTATACGCGTGTCCTACTACAAATACCAAATCTTTTCAGATCAAATCAGGGAAGATGAAATGAGAGATTTTGAAAGTTTGTCCCCCAAATGGGCAAGACCCAATTCTGTTGCTTGAGGGCTAGAAACACAAATCTGTTCTTTCCTTTCTCCCCTCATTCCTCATTCTTCTTTCTTTCTTTCTCTTTCTCTCTTTCTCTCTTTCTCTCTCTCTCTCTTTCTCTCTTTCTCTCTTTCTTTCTGTCCTTCCAAAGTTTCCTAGAGAGTTCGGTGACTATCCAGGGGCCTCATGAATGGACTTCTCAGTAACAGGTGGAACTCCTAGAACCAGACAGAAATTATTCTGGGGGAAAGGGACGCCTGAATGTCACCAGATTCTCAAAGGAACGGCATCACACTTAGAAAACTGGACAGGAGATTGATAAAGCATTGCGGAATGGACAAAGAAAAGGTGTCTCATCCTCAGGAGCCCATTTTCATTCCACTGAAGTCTCAGGAGAGAGAGGCAAGGGCTGACTCACCCTGAGTGCTCACCGCAGACCAGGCCCGGCAGCCAAGAACCATGAGCCATTCCTAATAAACCCTAAAGTTTAACTTCCCCAGCTGACAGGTGAAGAAAGGAAGGCTCAAGCCACATGGCAATCAGCCCGGGCCCTCAAAATCATGCCCCAGGGCCACCATAAACCACTGCTTTCCAAAGCCTCTTACGTTATCATGAGATATATGGGGGCAGGGGGTAAAACACCTTAACTGTTAAAGACACCAAACTCTTCTGGGTCCGGCTGATCTCTCAGCATTAAGGGACTATGCAGGCTGAGCGTGTCCAGACTCTGCACAGTCCAAGGAAAGACTAATCCTTGACGGGCTTCTGGGAGGTAACTTCAGAGCCCTAACATCCTTCTTAACAGGGTACTTTGCTAGCAAGGGCCAGATGTTTGTACCGATCATGTGATTCATGTTGGTGACCTTGGGCCACACATTATCATGTTTGCCCTGGTCACTGAGTAACCAACATCAGTCATGTGACAGCCCATGCCTGTGTGACTGATGGCCAGTAAAAACCCAATGCCAAGGCCTGGCTGAAAATACTTCCTACGTGCTGTCGCACGTCACTGTTGGGAGAACTAAGCACATCTATAAGACTGGACGGGCAGAAGACGACTGGGTACCTGAGGCTGGTCTCTCCCGAACTCTGTTCTCTGCACCGTTTTGTTTTGGTGATTTTAACATACCTTTTTGCTGTAATAAACCGTAACCATGACGTAACAGCCCTCTGAGTTCCGTGATCCTTCTGGCATATCACCAAACCCTTGGGTGGCCATGGGGGCCTGTGACATAGGTGTTCAACTGTCCTTCAGCTTCTGATTGTTACCAGTTGCTATGGTTGGCAGCTCCCCAAATTCATGTGTTGAGGCTTGGTCATGAAGGCCTTAAGACATGATTTAATGTGTTCATGGTATCAAAAGGTAGAACCTTTGGAAATGATTAAGTAATTAGGATGGGGCCCCATGATTGACTCCTGGTGGGTTTGTAAGGAGAAGGAATGAGACCGGGAGACTCCCATGTGGAGAGGGAATGAGACCAGGAGATCCCGGTGTAACAAAGACTTCCTCCTGCCCTCTGCCATACTGCATTCGGCCAGAAGACCCCAACCAGAGGTGGCTCCTGGACCTTGGACTTCAAACTGTGAGCTCAATAAATCTCTTTTCTCTTAAATTACCCAGGCTCAGGTATTTCCTGTTATTAGCAATGAAATAAACTAAAACAGAAATCCACCTGACAAAACACAGTATGGGGGATCAGCAGTTAGCATAATGGCTATGTCGCTGGACTCCCACGTATTCGACCGCGGTTTGAGTCCCAGACCTGGTGGCTTAAACTCATGCCGGGCGCGTGTGCATGCGTGCCCAAGATCCCGAGAGGAGAATGGAGGAGAAGGGATTACGGCGTGGCCATGCCCCCTGGAGCGGGATTTCTCGCTTTCTGTCTCTCTGTCTCTCTCTGTCTTTCTGGCGAGTGCAAGCGCCCTATAGCAAAAACCTCTCAAAAAAAAAAATAATAATAACACACAGTATGGAAAAAAAAATCACCTATTCAACTCAGTAAAGTAAGGCACAGACAGATGAGCCCCTGTTCACTTTATTCAAATAAGTTTTTGTCTTCTGAAACAGTAGAACTGAGGAGGAATCACAGAAAGCCTCATATATTAAATTCTTAAATAGATTCCTTTGAATTCAAAATCAGGGTCAAGAGGAGAGGCACAGGTTGTGGGCCTTGTCCCAGAAAACAAAGCCACGAAGGCGGTCCTGCAAATGAACAAGGATGGCAAATCCATCTCTTTAGAAAGAAGTTCTTGAGGGGAAAAATACAAAATGCCTAAGTTTCAAAAGCCAGACAACTTTCATGCTCTCCACTCTCTACCCCAGAGTGTCCGAAGAGAGAGTTTCCAGGCCCGTTCTCAATGACTCAGCTTTTGCAAACATATGCAAATACGTCCCTCATGGGCAGTCCTGTTTTGGCGATTAATAGCAAGCAATATGCTTGGATTAGAGGTCCGATTTCCACTAGAATGCAGTTTCTTCTCTTCTTGGCAACAAAGCCATTTGCAGAGATCTGAAAGGGGGGGAAGGCTGCGTTAGGCCTGGAGTAACAATTCTGAAATAGATCTTTTATATTTATATGTGTGATCGCAGAACGTATGGTCTTCATCCATTCCCATGAGCATGTTAGGCTGGAGATTTGCTTTCCAGATGGCCAGAAAGAAGTGAAATTTAAGAAATGTTTCTTGGGTGCTTACCCACATCTTTGACCTCAAAGATATACTTTTCTTATTATGAAGAGCAAAGGGCAGTGGTTATATGAGGAAAGGGAAGAATTAGCATTTGTTCGAGGCCAATTCTGCTTGAGGGATTAGCTAATGTACTCTGTATATGGTATCTCATTTAAACATTTTTTTTTTTAATTCATGATTGAGTGCATGCACACACATGTAAGAATCAGAAGGAGAAAGAGATGTGAGCACCTTCCCCGGGGTCTGGTCTAGTCCTCAAGTCTCTCAGATCCTGGGCACTTACAGACAGGCCCATGGTGTTTCATGCTGACCAGACCAGGGATTCAAACGCTAGTCACCGTGTGGAATCCAGCTTCTCTTATTTACTTACTGCTAGAGGGCACATGTGTTTGCTAGAGAGAGTGAGAGAGAGAGAGAGAGAGAACCACCCCTAATGGAGTCTGGCCATGCTGTAATCCTTCTTCCTCCATTCCACCATTCCATCAGGACCTGGGGGACACACCCATGTGCCAGGGGTGAATCTGAACCATGCTAGCTGCGTGGGATCTGGCTCCCTCTGCATGGGCTCTGGATGTGCTTTCCCCCAGAGCTGGCCTGACATACCATGTGAACAGCAAAGTGAGGAATAAATCTGGTTTTATCAATGAGAAGGTTCAAGATTCTACTAATGAATCGTCAGAAAATGAACAGGGTGGCGGGGGGGGGGGGGGCTGGGGGGGGGAGGACTGGAGTTGGGGAGAAACACAGAGAAAGGCTGTTTTCAACGTGGGCGTTCTTTTCTTTGGAATTAAGTAGAACTCGGATTTTAGTACAACTCAAGATGGGAATCCTGATAATGACTGAGTCTGGGTTTCCCCAGCCTCACAGTTTGGTGCAAAGTGGATTTAAAGACAAGCTAAAAAAAAAAAAAAAAAAAAAAATCTGATCATTTAAAAATAGATACAGAGACTGACTCAGGCTTGATGCTCTGTTCTGATCTCAAATAAGGCGGAAAGTGGAGGCTGATCCTGACCTCTCTCTCGGGTCCCCTCAGTCTCCTTGAGCCTAGTCAAAAAGGCTGGGGGACACAGGAAGTGAGTTCATTCACTGAAGCCTTAACTCCAGTGCCCAAGTCTACAGTGAAGGCCCAGAACCTCACAGCTTCCAAGCACTGTCACCTGAGCCAGTTCCTCTCATGAGAATCTCCAGAAGGCCTCGATGAATTCCTGTTCTCCAGACGGGAACAGAGTCAGGGTTGAAGTGCTTAAACCTTTGAATGACCAAATTCAGAATCCCTTTCCCTTTGGTAAAATACAGATGGGTAAGCATGCACTTCAAGTCGTTCTCTGGGGCCAGATAGTAGCGTGGTAGTTAAGGTGCTGGATTCCTACATAGCCAAGCATGGTTCGAGTCGTAGACCTGGCAGCTTTCTTTCTCACCTTCCCTCTCTCTTATCTCTCTCTGGCGAGCACATTTATCCTTAAACAAAATTTATAAATAAATCATTAAATAAATCTTATTTACAAAAAAAAAAAAAAAAAAAAAATGTCACAGGCCCCCCGCTAAAAAAAAAAAGAGTTCGCAGGGGCCCGCCTGTGGCATGGTAGTTAAGGCAGCTGGATCCTATTTGACCAAGTACACAGTTCAAGTCCCAGACCTGGAGACTTGAGAAGCACCCTGAGCATGTTGTGTATGGCCAAAATCCTGAAAAGAAGAAGAAATGGAAGAAGCGCTTGTGGCTCAATAATGACCCATGGGAGGTACTTCCTCATGTTCCTTCTCTCTCTGTCTCTCTCTCTTTGGTGAGCATATGCACCCTCTAGCAAATTAAAAAAAAAAAAAAAAAAAAAAAAAAACCACTAAATGTAAATGCTGTGGGAGAGGAGTTTTGGGGTCCCTCTGCCACTCAGCATCTGTGAGCCTTGAGCAACTTCTGCCCTTCTCTGTGCTTCGGTTTTTCCTCCTGTAAAATGGGGAAATCGCATCACTGTTCTCCGAAGGAGGCTGAGCCTCAAACAAGTAACAGGAGGATGTGACCCATGGTGGTGGAGGGGGGGATTATTAGGACAGCATTGCTGTGTCTATTATTAGAACATTAATTGCTGTGGGCCAAACTGTGATGCTGTTTATGGAAACCAGACTGGCAGACAGCATTCAGTACAAAAATGCTTCTAGAATCCAACAGACCCTTCCCAGCAGGGGTCCTTCCTGCCCCCTCCCGGGTGTCAGACCAGCCTCTTTCTGGTTGGTTTGGCATCCCCCACTCCCCCCACGCAGGATCCAGAGCTAGGAGACTAAGCCTCCATTCTATAAATAGCTTCCCTAGCCCATCACCATGGAAACTGCTGCTGGGGCTGGGTCAGCCCACCTTGCTGGACATTCCTCCCCAGGGAGGCTCTGAAAGGACAAGCCTTTCAGAAAAGGGGTTCCTGGGCTCTGAGGCAGAGGAGTTGAAGCCCTCAGGCGGGTGGGCCGGCCTACCTGGAGATGGGGCTCCCAGGGAAGTGTGTAGGCCTACCTGGAAATCACGAGCTTCCTCGGTGGGAGGAGGTGCTGTTCTGGCTCACCTGGAGGACGACACAGAGGATGGTTAGTGGGGGATGCCAGGGTCCTGCCATCCCGAGGCTCACCCGTGGGTACCACTGAGCCACATTCACTCATGGAACATTTGCTGCACACCTACTACGTGCTAGAGGCCGGGGATGTGGAGGTGAGCATGGCAGTCCCAGCCCGATCCTCCTGGAGTAAGAACCTGTTAAACACGCACGTGCAAAAGGGTGTCAAGTCCACATAACCCGAGGATAAGTGGTCAGGAAAGGACTCTAGGAATGACATTTAAGCTGCGGTGTAAAAAAATTTAAAAAATAAAATAAAATTGGTCTTTGTCCCTGTTAGCTCCTAAAATCCCAGGAGGAGAATGGAGGATAAGGGATTGCAGTGTGGCCATCCCCCTGGGGGTTAATTTCTCACTTTCACTCTCACTGTCTCCTCTCTCTCTTACAGTGCACATGCCCTAAGGCAAAAAAAAAAAAAAAATCCTCCTTGTACTCTCTAGAGTGATGAGGTTATCTTTTGTATGCTAATGAGAGGACTTGGGGTTGAGGGCCAGGCCTTCAGAAAGACAAGGCCAGATTAGAGGGTTGGAACTTTCAGTCCACCACCTCCTCCCCTCACCCAAGCTCCAAGGACAGGGTGGGCAGAGGGGATGGGTGGAGAATGCCCGAGCTACCAATGGCTGGTGATTCAATTAACCATGAAACCCCTACATGCAGGGTTTGGGGAGCTTCCCAGTTAGCGAACACACTGAGACACTGGGCACGTGGGGTGCCTGGCCAGGGCATGGGAGCTCTGTGACACCCCTATCCCCACGTCCCCTCATGCATCTCTCCCGTCTGGCTGTTCCTGAGTCGAATCCTTTCTAATAAACAGGTCAACTTGTCAAGTGTATCCCTAAGTCCTTCAAGCTGTTCTAAAAAAGTATCAAGCCGGGGGAGAAATAGGAGAACCTCTGATTCTGTAGTCAGCCAGGCAGAAGTGGGTGGCCAGGCACCCGGGTTTCTGCTAATATCTGAAGCGAGGCAGTCTTGTGAGGCTGAGCCTGGCATCTGTGGGGACTGTGCTAACCCTGAGAGCTGGTGTCAGAATACAACTGCACTTGGGACCGGCAGGTGGCGTGGTAGTTGAGGGTGCTGGATTCATCCCCACATGGCTGACTGCAGTTCCAGTCCTGGACCTGGCAGCTTGCTTTCTCATTTTCCCTTTCTCTCTGCCTTTCTCTGGTCAAATTAAAAAATAATAACAAATAGAATTAAATAAATAAATATTAAAAAAATAAAAAGGATACAATGGAAATAGCTACCAGCAGGTGTCATGGTGGTTGGCTGAACACTATTGTTAGAATGAAATTATGGAGAATTCCAACATGGTAAGACCCTGTCCTTAAACAAACCATTATCTGTCTCACTTTCTAATTGAAAAAAGAAAATTTTATTTTTTAAGGGAGAATTTTAACACCAAAAGGAGGACACCCATAATGCAAGGAAAAGGGGAGTCCATGCTGTGTGTCAGGAGGGACATCTTTGCTGACAGGGATACGGAGCATGGGCCACCTCCCATGGACCTGCCTGGGATGCTTGAGAGCACAACCCTGGGCACACACGTGAGCAAGCAGGGGAGTGTGCAGGTCTGCGTCCGCGTGTTAGCTACGTCACATAACCCTCATGACCCTGTTTTGGGTATACTGACGGAAATTTTGCACTGGGTTATATTTACACAACTGTTGCTTCAAGTAAAACTGAATCTAACACCAGAGGTAGAAAGTTCACAAGAAAGTCCCCAGAGATCCCTCCAGCTGCATTCAAGAAGGATAGGCAGAAGGGTGGCCAAGACTGGCCCCAGTGAGATCAGACATTGAGAGACCCACCTGGCCTGGCCCTCACCCCCCCCACTTATGATGGGAAATCATCTGCCACAGTGAAGAGGTGACGCATCCAAGCACATATAGAAATTCAGAATTCCCCTCGGGGCGTCTAACCTGAAAGTATCCTTTCAGATTGGCCGGTGTTTTATAGTCCCCTTTCAAGACCTAGGACAAAGAAAAGAAATATCACTCTTATGGAAACGACCAGAGGATAAAATGGAGCCCCCCCATCCATTCATGCACCCATTCACCTATTCACAGCACCCCCATTCCTCGACCCAGCCACCACCCAGCTGACACACGTTTAACAGAGCTCCTCTTATTCCGGGCCGTACCCCAAGCGTGGGGTATAACACGGACCAGACCATTGCAATTCCTATTCCGGAGCTTCCATTCTAGAACAGGTGCCAGACAGTCACGCGGGTTACCATACAATACACACGAGTGAGCAAGAACACATCGCACCACGGGGAGCGGGTGCTAGTAGAGAGGAAAACAAAGGGGTGTGATGAGGAGGGGCAGAGGGCTTGCTCGGAGTGGGTGGTCAGAGACAGGTGACCTGAGCTGAGAGCCGAGTGACAAGGAACACCAGCCAGGCTGAGCACTGCAGGCAGGGCCAACAGTGAGTGCAAAGGCCCTCAGGTGGAACCAGGACATTCCAGGCCTTCCACCATCTCTAGGTACGGAAGGCACCACTGTGACCAGCATGATCCCCTAGAAATAGTCGCTAAGCCACTTCAAATTGGCTAGTAGCCATGTTTAGACAATAAAAGCAGGTAAAATTCTAACACATTTTATGTAACCTGACATCTCTAAAGTATTAACATTCCAGGGACCAGGTGGTGGCACAGCTGGACCTGCAGGAGAAGAAAGGTCCTGGGTTCACACCCTGGGACCTTCCTGAGCATGCAGGGACGCATGTCCCCGAGATCCAGGTTGGCTGGGACAGGAGTAGATAGTGGGAACCCTGGTGGGAGTGTCTGTCTTTCAGGGAAGAAATAAATAAATAGACTTAAAAAAAAAATAGAGCTGGCCTTATGGCATACTGGTTAATAGTGCCAGATCCCACAGGGCCAACTGAGGTTCAAATCCCAGGCCTGGCACTTTGAAAAACATGCCAGTAGTGTGTGTGTGTGTGTGTGTGTGTGTGTGTGTGTGTGTGTGCTTTTCCTTTCTCTCTTTCCTTCTTTCTCTGCCAGGTGTATGCGGTAATTAAAAAAAAGTAAAATATTAACATTTCAACACATATGTATATTAAAGTGATTACTAAAACGCTTTACAGACTTTTTTATGTCCTAAGACTTCAAACTCCAATGAGTACTTTACACTTATAGAACCTCTCAGTTCATTCTAGTCCACTTCACGGGGTCTGCAGTCACACACGGCTAGTGGCTACTGCAAAGGGCAGTGCAGGCGTCTTCCTGTGCCGCCGCCAGCCGTTCGGTCGCTGATTTCACTGTGCTCCAGGAGCCATCACAGAAACACACACATGCATACATGCACACTCACTCACACGACTTTTAATAGACTTAATGGGGCCAGCAGGTGGCATGGTAGTTCAGGTGCTGGACTCCCACATGGCCAACTGCGATTCAGCTCCTGGACCTGGTGGCTTCAAAATCACGCCTGCCATGTGTGCGTGTGCCCAAAGTCCTGAGAGAAACTAGAGAAGGGACAGTGGCAAGCCATCCCCCTGGGGGTGATTTTTCACCTTCCTTCTCTCTTTTTTTCTTCCTTGAACACATGTACACTATGGCAAAATGCTAAAAATAATAAAAATTTAAAAATACGGAGACTTAACTTCATAGTAACAAGTAAGCGACTGTAAAGACCAGCTCTTGCGAAAAGAAATCTCTTCAGAATAAAATGAGCAACACCTTCCATTTTTAAACAAATAAACGAAAAGTCACCCCAAAATTAATCTTAATGGGACCTGCAGTTGGTGTAATGGTTACGTCGCTGGACTCCCATGTAGTTGACCTCAGTTTGAGTCCCAGACCCAGTAGCTTAAAACTCAGATGTGTGCATCCAAGCCCAAAATCTCAAGAGGAGGATGGAGAAGAGGAGACTGCGGCATGGCCATCCCCACTAGAGGGCGATTTCTTGCTTTCTGTCCCTCTCTGTGCCTCCAGCAAGCGCATGCACCCCATAGCAAAAATCTCTTTTAAAAAATTGATGGGCCTGGCAGGTAGCATGGTGGTTAAGGGCTCTGGTCTCTCATATAGCTGACTGTGGTTCGAGTCCCAGACCTGGCAGTTTGCTTTCTCTCTCTCTCTCTCTCTCTCTCTCTCACTCTCTCAATCTCTCTCTCTCTATTCCTCTCTGGTCAAATTAAAAATAAATAAGTAAATAAACAAATACAATTAAATAAAATAATTCTTTTTTAAAAATTGATCTTAACACCAGTGCCCATTTGAATTATTTGCTTTATTAAACTATATAAAGCTGGGCTTTCCTCTCACAGTTTCTGACCTCAAAGTCTGGGGTAAGTCAGGGGCTACCATTTCTTTTTTTTTTTTAAGAATTACTTAATTTTATTTATTATTGTTTTTAATTTGATATAGGGCATATGTGCTCACCAGAGAGAGAGAGAGAGAAAGTGAGAAAGCAAGCCAGCAGGTCCAGGACTAAAACCGTGGTCGGCTATGAGGAAATCCAGCACTTCCACCACCATGCCACCTGTTGCCCCCCTTTTATTTAGTTTTGCTATAATCTAGTTAATTTTTTATGATAAAACATATACAGAGAAGTACAGAACGCACATAAGTAGAGTTTGAAGAATGTCTCATTATTAACTAATAATAGTAAAATTAGTAATACTGCTTATAATAAAGAGAGTAGTAAAAATATTCCGTATCGGGGTTATGAATGTCCACACTGTCCATGTGGACCCAGGCTGGGTCTGGACAGTAGATCTCTGAGTATTTCTGTAAATAAATGCCCACAGAATCGGCTGACATCAGAGGCAACAGGAACCCAAGAGAGACCCAAGATGGGCTTCTACAATTCAATTCCCAGGACAGAGTCCCCACCACTCCGTGCTAGGAAATTCTCTTTGTGAAAAGGAGAGATGAGCAAGTCTCACAGGGGCACTGAAGACTTATTTGCACCACAGAGAGACTTCCTCCTTCAACCAAGGGAAGAACTAAAGGAGAACCTAGAGAGGAATCACTCTCTCCCTTTGTGATTCAAGGGCTGCTTACTTTCTAAAGGCAGCATGTGTTCAGAAGCAGCAGAGCTTAATTTCAATGAAGACTCTGGGCCCAGCTTCTGTAGCACAGCGGGAAGTGGACCGGACTGGCCCACAGACCTGGAAGCCACATGCTGTCCCTGATTCTGCTGGCCTAAAACCATGCTAGGTGTGTGTGAGCATGCTCAGATCCTGGTGGCCTGGAGAAAAAGAACCGCAGAGTGACAGAACCCCAGAAGGTGCATTTCTCCCTCGTGCACATGCATCTTTTGTGAATTAAAACAAAAGGGGGAGGGCCAGCACGGTGGTTAAGGCGGCTAGATCCCACATGGCCAACTACATGGTTCCAATCCTGGACCTAGTGCCTTGAAAACACTCCAGGCGCACATGCCTGCATGCCCCAAATCCCAAAAGGCAGGAGAAAAAGAGAAGGGACTGCAGCATGGCCACACACCCCTGGGCATGTTTTTTCATCTTTCGTCCCTTGCTCTGTCTCTCTGGGAAGCACCTGTGCCCTCTGGAGATATTAAAAGAAGATCTGGCACGGGAAGGTACGGCAGCAGTAAAACTTGGTGCTCTGTGAGGTTGACCCTCATGAGAGGGTTCTGGGTTGGTGTCTGGAGACCTCCCTGAGCTCACCAGCATTCACGTGCCCATGATCTGGGGCTGAGCTGAGGGTGGATCAAGGCACCCATCTGTCTGTCTCTCTCACTTGCTCATTCACTCATGAAAGAAATAGATGGATAAGCCCCAGATGTTATGGCCTGTGTCCCATTTTTAAATATCTTAACTAACTTGGTGTCTATAAGGAAGTCAGAACACAGCACTGAAAATACACGAGACACGATGACAACACCTGCATTAGACCATGACCTTGGTAACTACGCCTTACTCAGTGAGAATCAGCCGACCTGAACCCATCAGAAAGAAACATCTTGTCCACGTCACATTCCTTGACCACCTGCATGAAGGAGAAGCTGAAAAGCAATTTACACTGCTCTGAGCTCACATGAGTCTGAGAATCACCACTCAGCTTTGTGGGAGGAAGAACACAACCAGTAATTTATTTAGTTATGCCCAAAGTCTGAGAATCACCACTCAGCTTTGTAGGAGCAATAACACAACCAGTAATTTATTTAGTTATGCCCACTCTCAACAAGGAATTGAAGTGCTTTACGAACAGAAAGACAAAGATATAGCAAGGGGAAAAAGAGAGAAAGGGTAAATAAGAATAGAGAAATGAGGTGAGATTAGGGCCTGCTATTAAGAATACAAAAGAAAGTCTACCTGCTGGTGTTGAGCCCCCTAGCAGCCCAAGCAAAAATGGAAATACAAGCAGTCATACAGTTCACTATGTTCCTCACATGGAAACAATTCAGATGTTCGACAGTCAAGAGACCACACGTCTTAGGTAGCTAGAGCTTCTGCCTCTGCCGAAGACCCTAGAACACATGCGCATAGACACACTCGCACACTCACCCGGTGTGTGTTGTTGATGACGATGGGGTCTGGGTTGCCGTAGTTGGGTGGGTTTGCATATGGGTCGTAGCCCAGCCGAGCGAGCATGGGGGCGATCTGGGCCATGTCCCGCACCACGTCCCCAGGGATGTGGCCAGTCCACTTGGAGAGTGCTTCCAGGTTCACAGGCTTGATGACCTGGTCTGTGGACCGCTCGATTCTGGAGAGAGAAGACAGACCCGATGGGACAGGGCAGATCCAGACAGCACCTGGGTGGGATCCCTGCTCAGCCACCCCGGGACAGCAGAAAGAGTTAGAGGACCTGGCCTCCACCCAGCTCTGCCCCAGCAACTGTGAGGCTGCAGGGAGCCACTGTGCCTCTGCATGATGAGGACAGGACCTGCAGTGAGAAAGCAGAAGATACGAACAGCACACATTGTCGGTGAGCAAACGCCACTCCCTGACTTCTCCGCCTTTTAAGAAAATAACCTGGGGAACCAGCAGTTAGCGTAATGGCTATGTCGCTGGACTCCCACGTAGTCGACCGCGGTTCGTGTCCCGGACCCGGTGGCTTAAATCTCACGCCGGGCGCGTGTGCGTGCGTGCCCAAGATCCCGAGAGGAGAATCGAGGAGAAGGGATTGCGGCGTGACCATCCCCCCTGGGGGGTGATTTCTCGCTTTCTGTCTCTATGTCTCTCTCTGTCTGTCTGGCGAGCGCACGTGCCCTACAGTGAAAATCTCTCCAAAAAAAAAAAAAAAAAGAAAATAACCCTGAGCCGGCTCCAGGGCCCGGTGGTTAGAGCAGTCAGACCCCAGCCCAACCACTATGCTACCTGCTGCCCCAGTCCCTCTGCTTTTTTTTCTTTTTAAGTTTTGCTATAATCCAGTCAGTATTTTACTATGATAATGCACACACAGAGAAGTATAGAAAGCACATAAAGAGAGTTTAAAGATGACTCATTATTAACTATTAATAGTAAAATTGGTAATACTACTTATAATAAAGAGAGTAATAAAAATGTTCCACATCTGGGTTACAAATGTCCACACCGTCCATGTAGGTGGGGTCTGGACAGTGATCTCGGTGGTTGTGGTGGCCAGCTCTGTGGTTCGAGTCCCAGACTCAGCAGCTTGAGACACATGGGATGTGCGTGCAAGATGGCCACCATCCCAGCGGGACGAAGGAATGGCAGAGAAGGGATTAGGGCACAACCATTCCACATGGGGGGTGCTTTCGCCCTCTTCCTGTCTCTCCCTGTCTCTCTCTGGTGAGTGTATGGACCCTCTGGCAAAAAATAAATAAATAAATACTTTTATGTGTTTGATTAACATAAATATTTTGTCTTTGGAAAACAAACAGAAAACACTAACGGCAAGGCTAAAAACCCCCAAGGGGCCGCTGCCAGTCCGCCAGCCCCCTACAGGTACCCAGGCGTGGCACTTTGCTGTGCACCCTCTCAGCGTGCACATGCGTGATCCTGGCTGGCTGGGAAGGCCGAGGCGGGTAATGACGAGGGACAATGCTGGTTTCTCTTTCTCTTCCACTCTTGTAGAATAAATACATAAGCTGAAATAAAATTATTTTAAAGAGCTATGGGGATGGAGCCTGGAAGAACTAGCTATGAGAGAAAGGGGCTGTCTGGGGAGAACCACCCTCTCACTGGGCTCTCAGGGCTGCTCAGCCCTGATCGGGATGGGAGTGCAGAGACCCCACACTCCACTCCAGCGTCATCCTGAGGATCTGGATCTCAGGAGAGGGAGGAGGGCAGACAGTAACAAACAGAGGGAAGAAACAAGGGCAGGAGAAGAGGCTTGGGAAAGAGGGGAGGAGGGGCTCATGAACACGGAGAACTTCAGAGCACACATTCTAGAGTCCAGTAGACCTGGGTTCAAATCCTAGCACCATGCTTTGCTAGCAGGGTCCCCTTAGGGTGCTGGGTTCCCCCGAGGTTTACTGTCTGCATCTGTCAATGGGTATGAGAGTGATTCCTACACCATTAGGTTGTTGTGGGATTAAGCAAGATGTTTGTTGGGGGTGCTTACACCAGCCGTGGCCACACAGCAAGCATTCCAGAAATGGTAAGATGGTGAGGACAATGAATTCCCACAGAAGCAGCATCAACATGAACGCGATGACAATCATAGCGTGGTAACAGTAGTAGCACGTGACATGCACAAACCTACACAATCCTGCAGGTATCTACAAGGCTGCTGATATCCCCATGTTACAGACGAGGGCATGAAAGCACAGGGAGGTTGAGTCACTTGCCCAAAGTCACACAGCTAGTAAGGCTCGGAGCCGGGTTGTGAAGCCAGCCAACCTAGTTCTAGAATCTGTGCTCTTAACCTTTACCTGCTACTGCCTTACTATGGAACAGTCAAATTTGTTGGTACTTTCAGAAATAGGAGTGACTGCCCCCATTCTCTTTGCTTTTTATTTCTTTTTTCTTTTCTTTCTTTCTTTTTTTTTTTTTTAAAGAAACAGGCTCAGAAAAGTACGAGAGGGCTGATGGTGGCACCCTCGTAGCATAGCGCTCTGCAAGGCCGACCCACATGGGACTGGAAATGCTGGCTGCACATCTGTGTCCAGGATCTGGGGCTGGCTGAAGCTGGGGTGGACTGTCACCTGAAGACCCTGTTGGGGCAGCCTGTCACACTCTTCATCACCGTCTCTCCTGCTTACGGAAGAAATAAACTTAAAAAAAAAAAAAAATCTGGAACAATTTCACGCCAGTGTTAGGAGGCAGATCTGACTCAGGGCTCTGCTCTTCCCCATCCCCTTTCTAGATCTTTATTATAACAGAGGAGGCTGAGGCTCAGAGAGGTACAGGGACTTGCCCAAGGCCACACAGCTCAGGAAAGGCAGAGCCGATCTATGTCCTGACCCAGCGTCTGTGCCTTCAGGGCAGGGGTGTAGGCCACATCCGGGGTGCCACTCACTTGGACAAGGAGACGCCGCCGGGCTTGCCGATGAGCTCCTCGTGGTGCAGGACGGCGTCGCTCCAGCCGATGCCCAGGAAGTCTAGGATGAGCTTGAGGGAGCGCTTGGGGTGCAGCACCAGCTGCTCGTAGTACACGGGCAGGCACTTGTCCTTACCCACCTCCATGCACTGCGCGTACATGACCTCGACGGCCTTGTTCCACTTGGTGAGGCAGTCGCGGTAGCTGCTGAGGTCGAAGCCGGCGATGGTGACCTTGCGCGTGATCATGGAGTGCACCGAGGCGCGGCCGTCCCGCAGCATCAGCAAGTTGGGGAACAGGCGCGACAGGTAGACGGAGGACTTGAGCGTGAAGGGGTCCTTGTTGCACAGCACGCGGGCTGGCTCGCCGTGCTTGGCGATCACCTCCAGGATGAAGGCCTGCATGGCAGCGTCCAGCACCTCGTCTGTCACCCCCGCCTCGTCCAGTCGCAGCTTCTCCCGGCCGGACTTGGACCACGCCTGGCGCATGGCCAGCACGCGGGGGATGATGCGGGTCTCCTCGCCGCAGCGCACCTCGGGGTGGGCGTCCAGCATGGCGCGCATGAGCGTGGTGCCGCTGCGGGGCACGCCGCCCACGAAGATGAGCGGCATGGCCTTGCCGTAGCGGTACTCCACGTGGTCGGCGCCCACCATCACCAGCTCCTCCTGCTCCGGCCGCATGACCCGCCGGGGGCTCCGTGGGCCCGCCAGCACCTGGCGGCACTCCAGCACCTGCTGCCCTAGCTGGACCGCCAGCACCAGAGCCAGGGCGCAGCCGGCTGCCAGCAGCGCCCTGCGCACCGACAGGCGCATGCCCGGCCAGGGGTGGGACAGGCCCGGCCTGGGGGCCCGCTTCAGGGACAGGTCAGCCGGAGGCCTGCCCAGCTCACATCTGGGGAGAGAGGGCACACATCTGGGTCAGGGAGGTCTTTGCAATTCAGACCCCATAACACAAAGGCTATGCTGCTGAAATTGAGGGGCGGTGCTTTTTCATAAACACAATGGGCTGGAACCTGCAGGGCCCTTTTCTTTTTTTTCCCTTATGTGCTCACCAGAGGGAGTGAGAAAGCACCAGCCATGAGGGCATGATCATGCCACCGCCCCTTACCTCTGCATTTCTCCCTCCTTTCAGGATTTTGGGCACTTGTGCCTGGCAGGGTTTTCAAGGTACTGCGGCTGAAACTCCAGCCTCCCAACCAGCTGCGTGGGATCCAGCTCTTAACTTCTAGGCCACAGGCTGGCCACACTTTACTTGTCTTAACTCACCAGATCCTCCGGCAACCATAAGTGGGTGGGTACATTTTTTTAAGAGAGAGATGTTTGCTATAGTGCTTGCCAGAGAGACAGAGAGAGGCAGAGAGACAGAAGTGAGAAATCACCCCCCAGGGGGGATGGCCACGCCACAATCCCTTCTCCATTCTCCTCCTTGGATCTTGGGCATACTTGCACACGCACCCAGCCTGAGGTCCGGGACTCACACTGGTCAACTACATGGGAGTCCAGAGATGTAACCATTACCACCCTCTGCTGGTCCCTGGGGGTAGGTACTATTAACATCCAAAAGGGCTCAAGAGCTGGACAGCCTGGGTTCGAGTCCTGCTTGTCACTTCCTAGCCGTGGGACCCTGGCCAGTTCCCTAACCACTCAGTGCCTCAGTTGTCTCATCTGGTCCAGGGATAACAAGTATGACAAAACTGACTGTGGAAATGCGGAAAACGACAGTCCACGGGAACGGCAGAGCCCAGCAGCATGTCTGTCCCACAAACGCAGGGATTTCTGTCTGCTGCGCTGCTGTCTCCCCAGCTCCTGGAACAGTGCCTGGCACCTCGCAGTGGCTCAGCAAACATTTAGACATGCACTCGGCCCAATGAGCCGGGCAGGGTGCCATGGAACCATCACTGCAGAGAGGAGGAAACTGAGGCATGGGGAGGATGCCCAGGAGTCCACCTGGAAAGCAGCCAGGCCAGGCTCGTAGATTCCAGTTCAGGTCTGGCTGCAGCACCTGTTAGGATTCACACGCTCCGTCTCCACAGGAGACATTTATCAGGAGGCTCGGCACATCCTGGCTTCGACTTCTTCCTGAACTGCCCTCCATTCATTTGTTCTCCATTCAGTGTTTGCTAAGCACCGAAAGGTGCCTGGTACTGTGTTTGGTGCTGGGAACAGGTCAAGGACAAGGCAGCCAGGACTCTGACCTCCAAGAGCTCAGATCCCACCAGGGAAGCACAATTCCCAAAACACAGGGCCTTGTGGTTAAGGGACTGGATCCTACAGACCAACCACAGTCTAAATCCTGGCCCTAGCAGCTTGGAAAACACACTGGGTGTGGGGTCAGCAGACGGCATGGTGGTTAGGGCACTGGACTCCCACACGGCTGACTGAGATTCGAGTCCCACCTCTGGTGGTTTGCTTTCTCACTTTCTCACTTTCTCTCTCTCTCTCTCTGATGACTATAGCAAGTTAAAAAATAATAGTAAGTAAAGAATTCATAAACACGCACACACGGTGTATGCTTGTGCCCCAAATCCTAACCAGATGCAATGGAGAAGAAACTGGCATGGCAGTGCCCCATTGGAGGTGCCTTCTCCCTCTTCTTCTCTTTCTATTTCTTTGTCTCTCTCTGAAGAGCACATGAACCCTTTGGAAATAAAATAGTAAAATAATTAAATTAAATTAAATTTTAAAAACAAAATATGGACAGACTGGAACAACCACTTTCAAAGAATGGTACTGGGCACGGTGAGAGAGATCGAGTAAGGGAAGGAGGACGATGGTCAGGGAGGGCCTCTTGGAGGAGGAGGCATCTCAACTGAGGCCTTAGTGAGAAAATGGCTACAGGAAGACGTGTTTGGGTAAGTGTTCCCAACAGAGGGAACAGAGAGTGCAAAGACCCTGAGATGGCAGAGTGTGGGGTCTTCGAGAACACGAGAGGAGGCTGCTGGGACTACAGGGGACTGAGAAGGAAAAAGAGGGGCAGCGCCAGCAGGACCTTGGGGTCAGCCTGGAAGAGAGGGACTGCAGGGGTGAGGATGGAGGCTGGGAGGCCAGGGGACTCCTGCCTGCATCTTGGGGGATGATGGGGAGTGAGGGGAGGGGAAGGGACTTGGGGCCTAGGCTCCTCACCCCTAGGCACTGCTAGCAAAGAGGATCCGATTTCTCTGGCAATTTTCCGAGAAGCACTTGTGCAAAGCAAGGGCCCATCCCGCCTGGCCACTGCCTTCCTACATCCCTCAAATGGCAGATCCGCCCACGTCTCTAGTTCACCCCCACGGCCCCAATTTTGGAGACTCAGCCTTCTCTGTGCCTCCCTCTTGCCTGGCCTCTGAGTCTTGGTTTCTTTCCTACTTTGGATGTAAAGTTCAACCCATCACCAAAGGCCAGTTTGCAGCTGGGCCCATCCTCCCACAGGACAGGGCCCGGTAGGCCACAGCGAAGGGGAAAGAAACATCTAAGCTGAGGGGACATAGTCTGGGGCCTTGGGTCACAACTGCACAGAGGCCCTGGCACTTCCTGGCCATGTGGCATTGATGGAGTCACTTCCTTCATCTTAGCCACAGTATCTCCAGGTGCAAAGCAGGGGTGAATCCATAACCTAAAGGCTGCTGCAAGGGGCCCAGAAGCAGCTGACAAACCTCCCCCAGGGGTCAGGGGCCTCTCTGAGCTTCGGATAATAGCTGTGGACCCTCTCATCAGAAGTGTGTGTCAGGTTCAACCCACGACGGTGGGGGTTCACTGGTGCCCTCCCGGCAACAGGGAAAGGTGCGCCTGGCTTCGACTTCTTCCTGAACTGCCCTCCATTCATTTGTTCTCCATTCAGTGTTTGCTCAGCACCGAACGGTGTGGGGTCAGCAGACGGCATGGTGGTTAGGGCACTGGACTCCCACACGGCTGACTGAGATTCGAGTCCCACCTCTGGTGGTTTGCTTTCTCACTTTCTCACTTTCTCTCTCTCTCTCTCTGATGACTATAGCAAGTTAAAAAATGGAGATAAGTAAAGAATTCATAAACACGCACACACGGTGTATGCTTGTGCCCCAAATCCTAACCAGATGCAATGGAGAAGAAACTGGCATGGCAGTGCCCCATTGGAGGTGCCTTCTCCCTCTTCTTCTCTTTCTATTTCTTTGTCTCTCTCTGAAGAGCACATGAACCCTTTGGAAATAAAATAGTAAAATAATTAAATTAAATTAAATTTTAAAAACAAAATATGGACAGACTGGAACAACCACTTTCAAAGAATGGTACTGGGCACGGTGAGAGAGATCGAGTAAGGGAAGGAGGACGATGGTCAGGGAGGGCCTCTTGGAGGAGGAGGCATCTCAACTGAGGCCTTAGTGAGAAAATGGCTACAGGAAGACGTGTTTGGGTAAGTGTTCCCAACAGAGGGAACAGAGAGTGCAAAGACCCTGAGATGGCAGAGTGTGGGGTCTTCGAGAACACGAGAGGAGGCTGCTGGGACTACAGGGGACTGAGAAGGAAAAAGAGGGGCAGCGCCAGCAGGACCTTGGGGTCAGCCTGGAAGAGAGGGACTGCAGGGGTGAGGATGGAGGCTGGGAGGCCAGGGGACTCCTGCCTGCATCTTGGGGGATGATGGGGAGTGAGGGGAGGGGAAGGGACTTGGGGCCTAGGCTCCTCACCCCTAGGCACTGCTAGCAAAGAGGATCCGATTTCTCTGGCAATTTTCCGAGAAGCACTTGTGCAAAGCAAGGGCCCATCCCGCCTGGCCACTGCCTTCCTACATCCCTCAAATGGCAGATCCGCCCACGTCTCTAGTTCACCCCCACGGCCCCAATTTTGGAGACTCAGCCTTCTCTGTGCCTCCCTCTTGCCTGGCCTCTGAGTCTTGGTTTCTTTCCTACTTTGGATGTAAAGTTCAACCCATCACCAAAGGCCAGTTTGCAGCTGGGCCCATCCTCCCACAGGACAGGGCCCGGTAGGCCACAGCGAAGGGGAAAGAAACATCTAAGCTGAGGGGACATAGTCTGGGGCCTTGGGTCACAACTGCACAGAGGCCCTGGCACTTCCTGGCCATGTGGCATTGATGGAGTCACTTCCTTCATCTTAGCCACAGTATCTCCAGGTGCAAAGCAGGGGTGAATCCATAACCTAAAGGCTGCTGCAAGGGGCCCAGAAGCAGCTGACAAACCTCCCCCAGGGGTCAGGGGCCTCTCTGAGCTTCGGATAATAGCTGTGGACCCTCTCATCAGAAGTGTGTGTCAGGTTCAACCCACGACGGTGGGGGTTCACTGGTGCCCTCCCGGCAACAGGGAAAGGTGCGTCCAGGGGGAATGTCAGGGGCACAAGTCTGGCCAGGACACCAAGGCACACAGAAATCCTTCCATGCCTCCTGCAGTTTCTTCAAATGCTCAGTGAAATTCTCCCTCTAGACCGAAGACTAGAATTCTGCCAATTAGGATGATCTCAGTGTCAGTGCCCCTGGGGGCTGTCAATCACACTTTAGCTTGAATTAGAATTAGCGCCCTTCTGGGCAAACAGATGGAGACGGGGATACAGAGAGAAGAAACTGAAAGTTTCCAGAAAAGGCAGGAGCTGTGTCTGCACGTCCGCCCTGGAGCTGTTGGTGTTTTCTTTGTTGTTGTTGTCGTCTTGTTTTGTTTGTTTTAACTCGCCAGAGGGTGCAAGAACTCACCAGAGAGAGACAGAGATGGAGAGAGAAGAAAACTGACAAAGTACCCCCATAGAAATAGCCACCCTGCAATCCTCTCCCCTCCATCTCTCCTTTCAGGATTTTGGGCGTACTCGCACACGCACCCAGCATGTTTTTCAAGTCGCTGAGTGCAGGACTCAAACTGTAAAGGTGACATGCCGGATCCAGCCGCCTTCACCTCCACGCCACTGGCTGGTCCTCGTGCCAATGTTTGGGGTTGGTGATTTAATATTACTAAATATCAGGGGCCTGGAAGATGGAATAGTCAGAATAAGGAAAATGTTACCAACTGGCCAGTTTTACTCAAGACGGATCGCTCATTTGGCTTCGGTACTTTCAGCTTTGTAAGGTCCTAAGTTTTGTGTTTATATGGAGCGCAAAAACATTTTCCATGTGTCACCTGAGCTCAGAAGAGGGCAGCAATTTGCCTAAGATTGTACAGCAGACCTCAGTCGGACCATGCCAAGGCCCGGCTGTTCACCAGAAGAGAACAGCTCAAAACAGGCAGGCCAGATGGGAGCAGGAGACGGCAAAGACCTGGCGGCTAGCTTCAGAGAAAAAAGCGGCCCTGCAGCCAGCAGTTAAGGGAGCCAGATCTCACACAGCCGACTGCAGTTCCACTCCCGGGCCCCACGGCTTGAAGCACACGCCGGACACGTGTGCGAGTGCCCGGGGCCCTGATGGGATGGAGAAGAAAGGATTGCAGGACGACCATGCCCTGGGGGGGTGCTTTCTGTCTCAGTCTCTCTGGTGAGCACACATGCTATCGGGCAACAAGAAGAAAGAAGAGAAAGAAAAGAAAAAAGGGAAGGGGGAGAGAAAAAGAGAAAACAGCAAGGGAAATGCAGAGTGCCCCAGCAGACAGAAAGCAGCTGGGAACTCACGAAGCACCCGCTTCCTGCCCTCCTCCAGGAGCTGCTAGGAGGCCCAGCCCAGTGATCTGGGCCTGCCCTGTATCCCTACCCAGACAGACCCTGGCAAGGGAGGAGTCTCAGCCTCCTGGCAGTGAAAATGGTGGGCAAGGTCTCACACTTGGAGTCCTTCAGCCCCGGGTTCAAATTCCAGCTCTGCCACCTGCCAGTTAGTGACCTCAACGAAGGAATTTCTGAGCTTCCATTGCACCTTTCACAGAGGGGATAATAACTTTTTTCTCACGGAAGCTATCGTGAGGGCCAGGGGACTCCGTGAGGTGCTGAGCAAGTACACCAAAATGCTCACATCAGCAACGTGGGATGCAAGAGGGTTTGGGCTCTGGCTGTGCCCCGGATCCGCTCGGGGATGCTGGATGAGTCTCCTGCCTGCTTTGGGAGCCAGCCTCCTCTACCCCATCACTGGGAAGTTCTTCCTCTGAGGCTCAAGGAAGGGCAGAGGCCTACTCTCTCCAAGCCTCCAGGATCCCGCTTGTTCAAATACCGAATATCCAACTCGCCGGAGGAACAAAGACAAAGTCGGCCTAGGAGTCTGACCAGGCATCGAGTCTGTGGGCAAGGGGGGCGATTGTGCCAACGGCTGTCTCCGGAGGAGCCGGGTCTCTGTAGGCCTTCTGGATTCGCTTACCTCTCCTGGGCATGCTCATCTCCGGGCTCCAGCCCCCGTGCCTGCTTGCCAAGGCTGTCTGGTGGCAGAGTCCTGCAGAGGCAAAGATACTGAGTCAAGGCTGGGCGCTGTGGACAGGGCCGGGTGCCGTGGACAGAGCCGGCCCCTTACAGAGGCAGAGTGGGCTGTGGGCTCCCAGGGACACATGACAGTAACATGGGGAAGGAGTTTTCTGAGGACGAGCTGCAGCGCAGGGGACGCTGCTTCAGCCTGAGATGCTGCAGCTGGGGCCTCTGCTCACCTGCCGCTACGGAGGATGAACTGGCTCACTGCTGCCTGGGGGCCCCGAGTCTCTGCCAACCAGGCCTCGCCCCTCCTCTTGGTCTAGGGACCTTGGACTTTGGAAAGAGTAAATGTGAGAATACGCAGCAACTGCCAGCACTAGGCCACTACCACTCACTGGGCTACTGGGGATGGCTGATCAGGCGGTGCACTGCGCAGTTCCAAGGGGTCCATGGGCCCAGCCCAAAGTGAACATGGCGCTCCCTGGAGTTGGACAATGCCCCAGCACTGCCACGGAGCACTGACCACATGCTTACCGCGCAAGCACCTCGTGGCACTTAACCCTCAGTGAGAAGAAAGCACGATGACCCTGATTTTACACATAACAAAGCATGACACCAAGAGGGGGAGCCTATGACCCGAGGAACCGACAGACCCAGTTCTGCCACCCAGATCTGCCACTCCAGTGCCCAGTTCTTAGTCACCGAGTTACCTGAGTGAGGCCATGTCCATGGAACCACAGGGGGTCTAGTAGCCTGGGGCGGGTATGTGCATCTCAAAGGCAAACCCTTACTATTGAGGGTGGGAAGGGCTTTTAGTCCAATGCTCACCTTCCCCCACTTTACAGATGGATGACCGAGGCTCACAAGGGGAAATCGCTTTACAGACCCACACCGAGTCGGAGGCTCGCTTCCCTCCTCTTGGTGCTGTTTCAGGAGGCGACAGAAAGCAGCTCTGCAGACGAACAACTCCCTATACACAGACTGTCCAACCTCTGAGACTCAGTTTCCCTATTCTGCAAAATGGGCTGCTGGGAGGCTTCTGGACTTCTTTTTATTTTATTTATTTATTTGGAGAGGTTTTTGTTATAGGGTGCATGTACCCAAGAGACAGAAAGCAATAAATCACCCCCCAGGGGGATGGCCACACAGCAATCCCTTCCTCTCCATTCTCCTCTTGGTATCTTGGGCATGCACACATACACATCTGGCCTGAGTTTAAGCCACTGGGTCCGGGACTCGAACCACGGTCGACTACATGGGAGTCCAGCGACATTGCCATTACGCTATTTGCTGGTCCCAAGGCTTCCAGACTTCTAAGTCCCAGCAATTCCTACTTGGGCCTTGAAAGAAATAAACTGGCTGCAAGCTGCTCCCTGCATTTCTTCAGTCTCTCTTCTGTCCAGTTTGCTCACACCTCGCCTCTCTAGTTTTGTCCATACTTGAAATATCAGCCTGATTAGTATGCTTGGGTCAGGTGGAAGGACTCCCAGGTAACAGGCAGCTGAAGATGCAAGGTCCTCTGGGAACAAATAAAACCAATTAGGGACGGGGCACTCAAAGCTCTCCTGAAGGCAGGATGGCTCGGGTCCAGCTGCTCTCGGGCAGCCCTTGAAATGCCACGGAGCCTAAGAGGCCTGCCAACCGGGCAGCTCCCACGGCCAGAGGGCCCAGCCTTCCTCCTCCAGAGAACACAGACCCTTTCAGAGCAACGGGACAGGCCTACAATGGCCTTTGTCACTTAAAGCTGTGTGTTCAGCACGCAGCCACCAGCTACACGAGCTTTTAAATTCAAAGTAAGTAAAATTCAACACATAAAACGCAGCTTCTTGTCCATCATGGCCATATTTCAAGTGCCCAGTAGCCACAAGGGGCCAGCGGCTACTGCATGGACACTGCGGGTCTAGAATGGGGTTTGCCAACTACGGCCCTCGGGCCATATGCAATGCAAGGCCTGGTTTGGCGTGGCCTTTGAACTAAGGAGCATTTGTTCATAGGTTTTGTCAAGGAACGGGTAGTGATGATGGGGCGGGGAGGAGAATGGCACCGCCAAACCTAAGGCATTTATTCTCGGATCACAGAAGTTTGCAGATCCCTGCTCTAGGGCATTCCCATTGCTGCAGAAATGCCTACTGGACATGCCCCAGCTCCACGTCCTGGCGGTTAAGGAAGTCGGATCCCATGTGGCCAACTGTGAAGTTCAAGTCCCAAGCCTGGTGTGTGTGCACACCCAGATCCCGAAAGGAGGGAGAGAGAAGTGGAGAAGGGACTGTGGTGTGACCATGCCCCATTGGGGGGGGGCGTTCCCCCCTTCCAGGGCACATATGCCCTCTAGGAAAAATAAAAGTATTTAATTGTATTGTTTATTATGTATTTCTTAATTTGACCAGAGAAAGAAAGGGAAAAGGTAAGAAAGCCACCCAGTCTGGGACCAGAACCGTAGTCAACCACGTGGGAGTCTAGCACCTTAACCACCATGCTACCTACGGGCCCCAAAGGAAGAAAAATTCTATTGGGCAGCATTGATTTATGGAACAATTGAGAGGGAGGGAGAGAGTCAACAAGCCCTTTTCCTTTCTTTTATAAAGTTTATTTCTTTTGAGAGAGAATTGGAGGGGCACCCCAACAAGTCCCCATGCCATGATCCGCCTTCCAGCCAGCCAGAATCACTGGCCTGTGTGAGTGCCCCTGGCACGCACAGGGCGACCTGAGACACGCAACTGGGCCCTTCCACCCGGCCTCCGCACTGCGCAGTGCCAAGTCCCTTCTTTTCTCCCAGGAGGATCATGGGTCATGGCTGGCATTTACTAAACCCCGTGTACTTAACACCAACCCAAGGGCTCTCCATGCTCTGCCGTGCTTCACCCTCTTATCAGCCCCATGGGGTGTGGAGGGGTGTTCTCTATTTGAAGGACGAGAAAGTCCCACATGGGTGTAGGCTGAGCATGACTCGGCCGCCAAGCAAGTCACCAAATCAGCCGAACCAACCAGCAATCCGACACCACAGGTAAGAAAAAACACAAGGAGGAAACAGACTCAAAACGCTACCGGGGTGGTGTTAGGTCACAGGAGATATTTTCCACTAAAAATGTACTTTCGTGGTGTCATCATATTGTCTTCCTATATGATAAAAATAACAAGGTAACGAGGAACTTTTGAACTGCCTGCCAAACACCATATGAGCCCAGACTGCAAGGGTTCAAATCCTGGGTACACCAGCACTTCGCTGTGTGACCTCGGCAAGTCACTTAACCTCTCTGAGTCTCGGTTTCCCTGCTTGTAAAATGGGGATATAATGAAACCTCCTAAAAAGCGCACGTGTGCCTCTTGGGTACTTGAAACGTGTGAACAAAGAGCCAGCCTCAGGAGTGCTGGGAGGAGCACAGGAATCCGGACAGTGAGAAAGGCACCTGGCCCACAGCAAGGGGCGACCTACGTGCTGGTGTCACTGCCAGCAGCATCTTGTAAAGTGAGGGCTTTGCTTCCCATTTGATCAATGAAGAGATTGAAGCTCTGAGCCATGAAGTGATTAGCAGAAGCCACACGACTAGTTAGAGGAAAAGCCAGTTTCCAAATCCGGCTCTGTCCCCGCGATGCCATCCTTGACAGGGTGTCACATGGTTCATAAAATGGGGCAGCAGGAGGATGGGAGGGGACAGTGCTCCCTCTTTCCATGGAACCATGAGCTGCAGGAAGGAAAAGGAAGGGAAGGGGAGGGGAGCTCAATCATTCCACGAATGTTATCAGGCACCTACTATGTGCCAGGCACTGCTCAGGATACTGGGACACAAAAAAGGCCCCGCCTTCTGCAGCTGACATTCTAGTAGAGAGCAGAGAACACGCACGAGCTAACGACACTAGGGACACGGCTCAGGAGACTCACCCGTGATGAGAGGCGGAGACGTCCCACAGCAGCCGGAGGAGGAGGTGAATTTCTACTCAGACTGCACTGATCTGGGCTCCAACCCATTTGAACTCTCAGCATCATTGCTCCAAGATCAGCAGACCGAGAGGATTCCCCCCAAAAAATGGGCAGTGGAGAGGGAAGCTGGTAGCACACAGGGCCGACTAAGGATTTGAGTCGCGCACTCACAGAGTCATCTCGGAAGGAGGTCCGGCACCCACCCCCACATCCACTCAGCCATCAGCTCTGCAATATGCCCCCCCCCCCCCGGAGCAGTTTTGTGGGATGGTGATTAAGATAGCTGGATCTAACATGGCTGACTCCAAGGTTCGAGTCCTGGATCTGGTGGCTTGAAAAACATGCTGGGTACATGTGTGTGCACCCAAAATTTCCCAAAGGAGGGAGACGCAGAGGAGAAGGGATTACAGTATGACCATGCACTGAGGCGGGGAGGGGGCTTTCCTTTCTCTGTCTCCCTCTGGCAAGTACACATGCCCTGTGGCAAAATCGAGGGAGGAAGTACCATGAGGAACCACGTAACTTCCATCAAGATCAGCCCAAGTCAACACGAGCAATGTATCAGTACTTAATGCCGTGTTCACTGTCATCACAGCGTGTGGACAACGCCTAAGGAACACCGCACACTAGAGGACTTGGTGAGCTGGGTCAAGAGTGAGCTCTTGTCCCTGCACCTGCTCCCCGAGCTTTCTGGGGCCCTGTTTTATCATCTCTATGAGGTCAGCAAGCCTCCCCAGTGAAGGGCCTATAGAAGGCATGGTTTTTGACTCTGTGGGCCCAACGGTCTCTGTTGCAACTACTCAACTCCGTGAATGCACTGCTTCCAAAAACAAGCAGGTGACTAGATCTGGCCTGGGGCCATCATTTGCCAACCCTCTGGTCTGCATTGAGAAATGTCCAACGAATTTGATGCAACTTGGGCAAGCCCTCAAAAGCCAGGCAGAGATCTTAGAAGAAAGCTGGCATGTATGCTGTTTCTAGGCCCCCAGTTCAGAAAGGCCAGCAGGGAGACTCAGGTGGCTAGCCTTGGTGAGTAAGAGATGACTATCTAATTCCAGAAGACAAGTATTTGGAATAATCCGACATCCTGCCTGTTGCCAAGTAAGGAC